AGCTAGGTCGTGGGATACATGACTGATGACTGTCGAATTGACTGGACCATGGCAGCTTCTTTGTTTGACTCGTAGTTGCACTTGTGTGGTCCTTAGCCACCATTGTACCATGTTTTCACCCTGGCAACTAAAACCAAGTCACTTTTCATGTGTTATGAGTCATGGTCAAGATTGATTGATTTAATGAGAAAATCATCAAAAATCGCGTATTACCGCGAAAGCCTAACACAGAAACAATACACAGAAACACAGAAAAGCCGTCAAAACTGAAACCGTGCAATTAGAGGGCTTCACACACACTAGATGTCATACTTGCATGTAAATAGTATTGGGAAGAAATAAAAGAAAAGATGGTATGCTTTCACTGATGCCGCTGGTGGCTCCAACATCATTACTGGGTAGAGAAAAATGCTCAACTATTCACTCGAACCTCAAACCACTGCAGTTAATTGTAGAAAGGGAGAAGGCGTCGCCAAAGCGATCGAGAGTGGAGAGGCGATGATTACACATCTGCCCAGAGAGAAGTTTCCCAGATACGTAACATCCAGCATAAAATAGAAGAAAATGAGATTATAGGATGCACTTTGACATCTAGAGTGTGAAACAATTTTATCATTAATCGTAAGCGTTATTATCATCTTTCATTTCATTATCATTTTTCATCTTCACAGGTCATGCAGGGCAGGAAATCTTCGGAGATGAAATACTTTTCAAGAAGAAATAACTAACTAGAATAACGAGTACATCGAAGTATCAATAAGAGTCCTATAGACCCAACAGTTCCAGCAAATCGATTTTTTCTCAATCTATTTCTAAGCATATGACTGTTTTCAGCAAAAAGCACTCCGGAAGGCAACAATTGCATCCATCTCGCGCCGCGACAGAGTACAAAGTTGTGCAAGTGACCTCGACTTCTCCTACCCAAACTCCTGTAGTGCAGATTGAAACCGACTGACCTTACACTAGTCGACCAATAAATCCAGCACTTACTTGCTATCAATCTTATTTCCATGCGTAGGAGCCAAAAGGAAAAAACAAGGTCTGCTATGACACGTCTTCTTTTCAAAGTCATCATGTTGAGGCGCCGCAAACGTTCTTCATAACTTGACAAGCTACCCCCGGATAAATCTGGGTATACGGAACAAGAGTGAAGTGAACATTCTCTGAACTTTTTCAAGTTTGAGTACATCCTTTTTGTGCGATGGCCTCTACATTTGGGAACAGTGATTAACGTGTGGTAGTAAATATGCATTGTATAGACGTAGCAGAATTAATCTGTCAACTGGGATATCCTTGCAAAGAGGGCTCCCAGGTTCCACTTGTGCTCGGAGAGTATAGGGCGATGACGATTCCGTCGTCGAGGTAGGTAGCAGCTCCGCTGACTAAAAAGATGCAGAGATCATGGAGTCAATAATCTGCTGGAAGATGCCAAGTGTTGAATTGAATCCAAAGGGCAAGCGATTGCAGCGGTAGAGTCCTCCATGCGTGTTAATTGTGAGGAGCTCCTTAGAGTCGTCGTTCGGCCTGAAGATAGATGTCAGCGAAGTAGATATGGGAGAAAACAATTTCCCCATTGAGCTTAGTGAAGCCCTTTGCGGTTGGCAATGGGTGACGGTGCAACAGTAGTGCGTCACGGAGTCCAGTCGAGAAGTCGGCGCAAAATTGGACGAATCCATTGGCCATTCTCACAACGACGATTGACGCAGCTCATTGCGAATGGTCGACGGCAGAGAAGACGTTCTGTGCTACGAGTCGGCCAGTCGAAAAGAGGTACAGACGCGTAGAGAACCCGTCTTTTCTGATGAAAATCAGCTGAGTATCGGGCTTGAGGTAGAGCGTCGCCTTGGTTTTGGAAGAGCGGTCAATTTCCGGTTTCAAGACATCCATGAAGTGGTGCGCAGTGGCGGTCGTCTTGTTTCGGATTGCGTCGTAATCGAGCTTCTGCACCTTTTGGGTAAGAAATCTCACAAGACTGAGCTTAAGTCCGAGATTTACTCGATCCGTGTAATGCCAAGAAGGTTGTTGTCGTAGTAGAAGTTGCAGACGTCTTTTCCAGGATGACCCTCTTCTTGGTTGTCTATTGCCACGAAATCGTTGTCAAATCTTCCGTGGTTTGACGACGGTAGACCATTGACTCCCTCGAAGGCATATGAGGTCTTCTGCAGACAAGGGCTGCAAGCTGCATCCATCCATTGCATGTACGAGAGATGTCCAACTGGAGGGAGAGATGCGTTCATTGATGTGAACTTCCAGGTACTTTTAGATATCTCCTGTATGGCTCGTTGGTACCATGGGCGCGGTAATGGCTGCTTGGCGCGACGTCGTGGCGCAGTCCTTGATTCCTCAGCGGCACTGGTGTCGTTGCGGTTTTGTGGGCAAATCTTCCTCCAGTGTTGCTGTTAGCGGATCGAACACAGTGATCGCAGATGTCAAGGCTCGATAGGGGTGGGAAGGCGCTGCTCCTTTCTTCTCCAAACGGTGTGAATTTCCGTTGAGTTGACAGCTTCGACGATTTTGGAGTCGTCTTTGACCGACTTCCACGCGTGGTACTCCTTGGCTTAATCATCGGCAGTATCTTCTCACCTTCGCCCAGCTTGCGAAGGAAGCGAACGCGATAGTCGGCCAGCACCGGAGCCGGAAAGGCGAACACTAGGGCTAGGCATTTTACGTATACTGCCTGATGTCGTTGAAGTTGGCTTTCAGATCGCGAGCCTTGAGTAAGTTGACGAAGTTGTCAATGTCCTCGCTGTAATTTCGGATTCGGAACGACGACGAAAGATGCCTCTTGATACTAAATAGCGTCTTCAGTGTTTCAACAGTATCCGTCCAATTCAAGTCACTTGGCTGATGGTAGGATGTGGCGTGCGATGCGGGTGTGTCTTGCAGCCTCTAGGGCAGAGACGAGAAAGCGTGCCTTCCTCGCTTCTCCCATCCCATCCCTTGGCAGACGACCTTGAAGGTGTCCTGGTGCAGGTGAACCGTAGATTGAAGCAGTCGTATTGATCAGCATAGCACAAGAATTTTTCGATTCTTCTCGAGATCCTCATGCGAAGCGATTGTTGGCGTTGCCATCTTCTGGAGCAGGTATACGTGGAGCGTCTGTTGACCGGCCATCATCTGCAGCAGTTTCTTCACAGATAGTCTTCTGGCATCCCGACGATGGAGGCGTTGTCTTTGAAACCGTGATCTTGATCACGAGTTGCTGTGTCCTTCGTTGGTCCCCCCAAATCTTTTTGTCAAGCCAGGCAGATCAGTACTATACAAGAATTACCCTACTAACATTAGATCACAGATGCCCCAACACCTACCAAATTTTAGCGCTTTAGGTCCAATTTGACATTTCTGCGCAAGCTCCGCCTTTTGAGGATGGAGCCTAGTCCTGCCACAAATATACAGTTTTCCCACCTTGCCCCTGTACTCCTACCGAATTTTAGCGCCCTCGGTCCAGTTTGAGTTTTTTGCAAGCCCCGCCCCAGTGGGCGGAGTCTAGTCCTGCCACCTATCACCAGAGTCATATTCTGCCACCTGTACTCATACAAAATAAGAATGTTCTAGGTCCACGGGAACCGGAAATATGAATTTCCACTCAAACATTTATTTAGCGCTCGCGCTCAATGGAAACACTTATGGCAGATGGCAGTACCGACTCCCCCCCCCCTCTGGGGGCGAAAGTCCGTCCTGCCCTCCTACTGAATTTGAACTCTCTAGGTCTACGGGAGCCGGGGTTATGAATTTGCTGTCAAACACAAGCACAAACATACGCACAGCGCGCTATATATAATAGGGTGTGGACGAGATGCTAGGCGTTACTCCATGTTATACCAGGGGCACTCAAGAAGGAGCACCGGGAAAACTTTATGCTTTTGGCGTAAGAAAACCATCTCACCCACCTCCTGCTCCTACTTTGACGTTTTTTTTTAAAAAAACTACATCTTTCTGGCTAAAACCTGTACCTGCTCACCCGGCCCTTCGACTGCGATACAGTGCTAGCATAGCATGGGTTGACACGTAGCACCATGTTAATTTCTTGAATTTCATGTTATACTGACATTTCTTGTTATACAGACACTGTTCTGCAAGCCCTCTCCCCTTCCCTCCCTCTCCCCGTCTTCCCACCAACTACGTTTCCATCAAAATCGCTTGACAAGCCAGTGAAAAAGGTAAATCTCAACAAGGTCAATTGCTCTGACCGGACCAACTGCCCACCTCTCACAGCGGCTATGAGCTCTCCTTGCAACCTTTTCCTCAAAAAGGCATTGAACTTCTTATCGTAGAATTTCTTTTTAGGAATAAGAACATAGCAAATGCCCTCCCACTCTCCCAACTCGGAGGCTCTGCCTGATGTGTGTGCCTATATGACTGAAGAGATTTCTTAAACCCATTCAATTCCGATATATCTCCTACACCAAGAAAGACTTGACTGAAGATTTCATCCCGTAATAATCTAGTGAACCTTCCACTTCGTTCTGACTGTGTGCACGGCTTTACAATCCCCACGTGCACCTAAAGTTCGATCACTGAACCAAACCAGCCAAACTTCTCCAGTGCTACGAAAAGTCGAGTTTATTTCGAGTATTCAAGAAAACCTGTAGGTTAAGAACAAAGACCAGATTAGCGGTTACTTCAGGAGTGGAAACGTAGGATCCCACCAACCTTGTTCCTCGCTCTTGTCTTTTCCCAGTTCCGCAAGACTACACCACTTCCTCTACGAAACCTTGACATCCTTGAAAGATTCAGAGTAGTCATCTTCATTTACAAGAAACGATCATTCCTAACGAATTCCAGTGTTTCGGAATAACCTACGGACTTGAAAAATGGTCGCCGCAGCCTAAGCCCTCATTAGCCGGAAAAGCCGTCTTCGTTTCTTAGGCTCCGCCCTGGGTGCAACCGATAGGGGTGAATGTCGCCTTAGTGTTCGCGAAGGATCACGAATTTCAGAAGACGACCTTGGGATTCAGAAGACAACCATCGACAACGACGCCGAAGACGCCAACGAGCCCCGCGCGACCGCCGCTCGATCGATTTCGAGGGGCGGCGCAAGCTCGCGCTGCCGCCGCTGTCGCCGCACATGCCGCCGCGTGCGCTTTCCCTTCAGTTCGCGACGCTCTCGTGACATTTCGTTTGGAATGACGTCATCATATCTTTTTGAGGAAGGGGCTTGTAAAAGGGATTTTCCTTCTTCTGGGAGGTTTTATGGGGTTTTCAGTACTCCACAAGCCCATTTGGATGTTGGGGAACATTGCTGGAAAGCCTGGCTTTGAAATCGTAGTAATTACCATTTCTTAAGCTTTTATTAAGCAACTTATCATGCTTTCAGTAATAGATGGGGAAGACATTCCAAAGGTTTCCCATTTCATTGCTTTAAAGCTGAATGGACTCATCGTTTGACAACTTGTTGTCAATTTCTATGACATGTAGATATAATTTTCTAATCGAAATCAAAGGGGTAGTTCCTTTCCTCGTAACGACGGAAGCATTTGTAAGCCGGAGTGGTCTTTTCCGAATCAGTTTCCAACCTCTTAAAGCTCTAAAGCTTAATCGTTAGGTGAAGTGAAAAGCATTTGTCAAGTTCTAGTAAGGTGTCGCTTTTTTGAAGTTAGTTTATCACGTTACGATATATTGTTTGACATTGAACATTAATTCTCTTGTTTCTAGCTGTTTGGCTTTTAAAAATTTTTTATTAGTTCGCTTCATAGTGCTCTTCAAATAGGCGCGGTTCATTCTGATTTCTTTCAGGATTCGGTCCTTGATGGCCGATGAAGAGCATTCGCGCACAGCTTCTTCGTATGACTGTGACGATGATTTTGTAGAAGGTGAGGACAATGGAGAAGATTTTGAAGGTATGTTCCTCTTTAACGTTACTTTAAAAATGGGGTTTCACCTATCCTTTCTCTTTTAAGCCCGATGTACTAGGTTTCTTTGATCAATCAAATGATTTAATCGTTCTTATCTAGTCGTTCCATTCCCATAATAATAATGTGTAAATCAGTCTGGTGAAATCACTTGTGATTCCTGAGTCTCATAAAAAAGTCAAGATCAAGAGAAATTTCGAACAGAACGTTGCTGTACTTTTATTCACATTTTTTCTTTTTTCTAACTTATATTTGACAGAAACTACGACACGGGGGGGGGGGTCTTTAATGGTGTTGTTTTCAAGGAATTGCGACCTCCTCTTGCATTTCTCATATTTTACGAAATATTACTCATAAATAAGAACTCCAACCAGAATCTTAATATGACATGCTTTTGTAAATTGTTGCTAAGAACGAAGGCCATTCCTCTAAGGCCCTAGTTAAATGCCTTTTCTCATTTCCCATCCGGCATTTATCACTAGTAAAGCTAGATTAGCTGATATCGTGTTCAAGATCCTTAACTGTGGAATCATTACCATATATGTACACGTAGTGCCTGTATCAGGTTGATTAACGCAATTTGCTTTTATAGTACGATGTAAGTGAACTTGATCACATTTGCTCCGACGTCTTTACCATGGGATTGCAAAATTATTCATCCTGCTTATTTATTTCCTTGTTTCCTTCTTTTTTATGTTCAGTGTTTCTTGGATTTTATTCCTCTCATAACCTCTGGCCTCGTTTATTTTGTCATTTTCAGCACTAAGGTGATTGATTAGCAGTAGGAGTTTCTTTTCGACACCTAGCTTGTTTTGTGATAATGGGACCAAAATTTTTACACCTTAACAATAATGATTTCTTCGGATTTGTTATCGGCTTCACCTTCAATTCCTATGTTTGTGCTGACCTACCCAAGAAAGAACTCATCGTCTCATATCTATTAGTCGATGGAGGGTCATGGATAAAAGGGAGCTTTGTATCAACCACAGAAACCATCTGTTCAGCTCCAAGGAGATCATCATTTTCTTCACGAAGCAATGTTACGATTAACCGAGTAACTTATGTAAAGGTTGCAGAGCCCGGTAACTGCTTCACCTGCATTATATTTAGGAACTGCTGGATCTCAACACACAACCTCCACAGCTCTCGTTTTTGCTCAAAGGGCTTTTTTTAATAAGATCGATTACCAACTTATTTTGCGAGGAAATAAAAGATGAATATGTATTACATTTTCCTTATGAATGATACACGCTCTACCTTTGCAGAATTCTGATATTGCAGGAACCCTCGATGAAGAGGAATTGCTGGAAGGTGGAGTTGATTACTCAGAAGAACTCAGAGGTGAATCTTTATCTGTTAAGTTGGTGAAATTCCGAGCCTTCGGAAAGCTATACCTTCGTTTGCAAAATCGTGACATGTTGATTCCTACTACATGGATAAAACGAGAAATTGTTCTGTGCAGGACGTTGCTTTGGCTTCACGCGACATGAAACGTTTCCTTCCATCCAAATGTTTTTCAGAAATAGTTCGCGTAGTCATGTTTCCTGCTGCAAAGATTTTTTTCTATTACTTCCATTAATCCCTTGTTTACTGACACACTACTCCTCAAAAANAAAAAGTGGATATTCCTCCTATTTTGTCAGCATATGTTTGCCACTGCTTTTTGCATGTGGTTATCTCTTCCAAGTAAATATATGTAGTTGGGAAGTGGTACGGTATAGAAGAAAGCAAGTTAGTGGTAGTTGTGTGCTAGAGGTTTTCGGAGTTCCTTCCAGTGTAGCAGAGTTTTTCCTCAGGTCCTACTCGAGAGCGCGAAGTTCAAAGTTGAGCAAAGTAAAGTTTTTTTGCAGAACTAGAGGATGAAGGTTCGATGGATATTGAAGAGCTGAGACGAAGATACGGTTACTCATTGTATGGCGATGATGACGAAAGCGCGGAAGCAGAGGTTTGTAATGAAATTTTAATTGCTTCGTGTCCTTCTGGAGTCAATGCGTACTTTTCATTTTTTCTTTATAATTCCACCCTCAAGTTATTCGTCCATTGGCACCGTGGATTTGGTTTTTTTTTCCTGCATACTTGAATTTTATATAGTAAGGAATACAAAGGATTAGGTTGGTCAAACAACCTTGACAAAGTTTCCACTTTCTCCTTCTCCATTTTTGGATGGGGTACGTTTCACCAGCCTAGCTCTAAAATCTTATGTTGGACGTTTTCAGCTATATGGGGTGGGGCGTTGCGATGAGCGAGGCTCATTGAAGCTAGTCTAGGCCATATTTCGCGGATTGCTTTTTGGGGCTTTCGAAGGTGAATACTGTTCACGGAAGAGGTGACCATGTGTCTTTGCGTTAGCAGTTCATATTAAAGCATCCCCTCCAATCTCAGAAGCGCCATGGAAGAGAATTCTGGGGGTACATAACTGACTTTATTTGCATATGCGGCTCCTCTACCTTAGGCATCGCTTTTTAGAGGTGGTGTAAGAACCAACTCTCATATCCGTTAATCGGGTATTCTAAAAACTTCTTACGATGGAAGCGAAACGGACGATTGACATTGGATGCCTGGGTGTATCGCATATCATCCGTCAAGATATGAGGGATTCACCGAGTCAGCACTTTTCGGTAGCCAATGGGCTGGAGACGGTCAACGGCTTTGAACTAAGTACACCCGAACCTTGTGTCAAGGGACGGTGCTAGCCTCCGAATGGTTTGAGAGCCTTGAGAACGGCGGATTCTTCCTGTCCGTGTGAGGCCGTCTCGATTGAGCTTTCCCTTCAAAGCCCGTGTCTCCTTTTACGAAGCGAGCTACCCAGTGGTGGACGGTAGTGATGATAGTAGTGTTCATCCCTTCAATGCGCTGTTGATGTTGTGCGCGCATACTTCATTGCCGCGCACCACTTATGGAAGATGACGGCTTACACAGTTCTGGCTAAATCACTTACAGATGATACGATACTTTTGTTTAACAGGATTTTCTTGGTTTTGCGGTTGGAATACCGATTTCGAGTCACTTTTGGCACACCACCGACAAATTGACTAGCGCGTGTTAAGGTTGTTTCCGTTTTGGCACTGCATAGGATGTGTAGTCGTGGTAAAGTAAGGCTGGTTTCCTCATTTTGCCTCTGTGATCGCAATTGTGACCTAGAGAACAGCCTTATATACTGATTCGTTTTATTTGATTTATCCAGACGTGGTTTTTATCCATACAATAAAGTTATTCAGTATATATGTGCTTTTTTTGTAAAAAAAAAAGTCATCAGCCTTCTTAACAAGCAATTTGATTTTAGAGTTATTTATTTCATTTTTATTCATTACACTGTATGCACTGCATTAGTGATTGTGATATTTTTCAGTAGTGGAATATAATGTTTGCATACCGTAATATACGTATTATCTGTAAGAACTTATTGGGAGAGAATTAAGCCCTCACTCGTACAGAACTTTTACTCTTACACACACCGTCTTTTTTCGCACTTATTTATCTCAGCATTAGGACTATGTTTACCTCTCCTGATAGCGCTGTTGTGATTGTGCTTTGCCTCCTCCTACACATAGTCTTGCTCAAAAAAAGTTTGAAAAGTTTTTTTTAAGATCAAATTAGAAATTTTTTATAATTTATTTCCAGTGTGACAGTAGCTCGGATGCAGGCGCCGTTGGTGAAGGTGGTGATGGTGAATGCGAAACGGTCGATGTAGAAGCTAGTGAGAGTGGGGAGTTTTTCCACCTTCCATATGACGAGCTTGACGAAGGGGACGATTCAGATGATAGAGACTATGCGCCGCCAGATCCGTGGAAGAAGGACGTTAGTTTTTTTTTTGAATTCTAGAATTAGTGCTAATGTTGTCGTTGTTATGACGACATTGGGAGACTTTCTCAATTTTCAGGTTAACAAGATAAGCATTTAAAATTGTGCAGCAATTTTAAGCATATTCATCTTGTCCGTTACAGGTTCGTGTTGATGCAGGCCGTTATCAAGCAGCAGTTCCTGAAAGCATGAACGACGAAGAGTCTGTAGGGTCGAGTGATAATGACAACGATCTACCGGCACTACCCAACCCGGTACCGGGTGGAGCATTGTGGATGCCGACGGATGAATTGTCAGAGGTCGATATAAATCGATTTTTAACTGACATTGTTGAATTGAGAGAAGCGCATGGTCAAACATTTTCTGATCGTTTTTCTGTAGTGAGTTCTATTTTGATATATTGTTTTGCCTACTTGCCTTCCTTACATACCAATCTCTTCCTGATACCTCTGCTCTTCAGACGAGAGACGATGAAGACGCGCTCTGTGCATTGTATAGGCACCGTTACGATACTGAAAAAGCGAAGGTGAGTGTTCCAAGTTTTGAATGCATTGTTCCCACATCGTCTGGAAAATACACATTTTCAACATGTATGGCTCTAAGACTGCAATTCTTTCATCAGTAAAGACGTTCGGCAGATCGAGGACGGTCTTATAGATAAGTTCTCCTTCGAGAGCTCGTGATTGTGATTAGTGGAAAATTGTGTAATCACGGGCTCACCCAATGAATGAAGACTAAATTCCCCTTTCATTTCGAGGTGATGTGGATATTCATAATAACAGAACATGTTCACATATAGGGACCAAAATATTCTCATTTAGTCCCAAAATGTATGGGTCGTTTCTGCATTTCTACGCGAAACCTTCCATCTTCTGCCAGTGGAGCTCTTTTGTTGCTTCCTTAAAGGCACAGTTCACGATAAAAATGGCTTCTGAGATTTTCCCATAGGATAAATCTGTGGCCTCTTCGTATAACATTTGTGGCACTTTCCTTATAAACATGGAAATGGTTTATAAGGGCTCAAAGATTGTATCGGGTGTGTGCCACACCAAAGGCGGGTAGGTTTCACGGCATCGTGAAGTGTACTTTCCCAAGGGACACCCATATAGCAAGTTCAACAACTTGTCATGACCCACAGTGAGAGACAGTTTTGGAAGATTCTGGCCTGAGGTAATGAGCTTTTCACGCAATTGAAACAACTGAAATCCCACCCAAATACACTTTCCATGCCATTTCCGACAGTTTATTTCGTACAACTTCTACTTTCCTTACTATTAGGAAGCCCAATAGAAGGATTTTCTCGCTTTCTTCGCCACCGATGCAGTGTTCCCAACCAACATTCACGCTTTACGACTTGAAAGTGGAACCGCAAAATTACCGTGAGCAGTGTCTTTAACTTACTAAAGTAAACTTTGATCCTACTATTCATTTGCTTCTTTGAGAGCTGTAGGGTTCTGCTGGACATGTAGACATCATGCTCGCTTGAAGCCACCGGTGTTCTATAACAAAAAATCACTTGTATTGTTGGGAAATACACGCGCGTCGGATTTTTTGCTTTACATTGCAAGTTTCCTGATAAAGTTACACGTAATCCACAGTTTGGACTTTCAGTCCTAAAAAATCTTGAGCTGACCACAAATTTCCTCACAATCAGCTGCAATCCACGGTCCACCCATTTTTTCAAATCGTTGATGTCCGGCCTTTCAATCATTTTTACTTGTGATGCCATCTTCAGGCAGCGTTTCCGTTTTCTCGAGTGAACCAACCATTCCGCACTGTTCGTCAAGGCGCTTTGCAGTGGGATTTGTCTGAGCGAGATTTGTTTGAGAGAGGTATCACGATGTACGGCAAGAACTTCTCCGCCATACAGAAGAGACTTGTAAGTGACTTCACTTCAGTAAAGCTAATTGAAATTATAGTTCAAATTATATATTTGTTAAAGCTGAGAACAACTTGAGTAAATTAGTGCTAGATTACTACTCACCAATCTTAAGTCATTTGGGAAATCCTACGCATAACCTTTTGAGAACCGATTGTTAAGGACTTCATGAACATTTACTAATGAGGAGCATTCGACGTCTAATACCCCTTCAGATGAGCTGGGCGCTGAACCGTATCGATTTCTAAGTAAAACTGAGGATTATTTTGCAGAAGTATTTTCTGAGTGTTACAGCAGCGAAAGTTTACTTCGTTTAATAACATTACCATGAACGTAGTAGTTTTACTCTATATCTGCTCATTTCACATAATATTAGAAGGCAATGACTTTTGTCATCTCAGCTTTAAGTCAGCTTTAAGTTGAATAAAATAAAGACTGCATTACGTGATTTTCAGCAAGTTGGAAGCAGTCCAATTATTTTCATTTTAGTTACCATATAGACGAGTAGGAGAGCTCGTTGAATATTACTACTTCTGGAAAAAGACAGATAGGTGAGTCTCTATGGCAGAAGCCGCTCTATTTTTATCTCATACTTCAGGGAGTGTCAGCTAAAGCAAACTACTACACCTTGTTGAAGGTGATAAAGTAATAGTTTTTTGTTAGGCCTTGTGCCTTATGAATGTAGTGTGTCCAACGTTCTACCTATGATTCTTCCTTCTTATATTTTATTTATATATTATATTTGAAAGGTGTTCACTTCAGTTTGAAAGGAAACGGTGAAACGCGTTTGCTTTGGCTTGAAAGAAACTGGGTGTTCTGCTCGTTAGTATTGAATGATGTTATGTTATGTTCTAGAGGTTCAGCAGAACTATGGGTCCTGGGCTTTCTTATTCCCACATATATCAACAACTGAAAGGTGAATTTGAGTTTTGGTCGAGATTAGTGCTTCCTCCTCCTAAACTCATAAAGATTCTGTTTCGTTCGTTCTTTCGTTCATCGAATTATCCGGTTCTTGCAAAGATCCTTCTATTGCCCAATGAAGTGAGGGGCCTTTTATCTTACTTATCTAATAAAGGGGTGAGTATAGAATAGTGAGGAGTCTTCATAATAACAGAATGTAATGATGTAAACAAAAAATGAGAAGGGTTCAAATTAGATTCACGGAGCATAGTTACTGACTACATCGTTATTTTATACATGCAGTAGTTGCAATAGTGAGTGCGTGAAATTGGAAAAGCTATAATCTGTATGTGTGTGTGTGTGTGGAGGAGATGGGCTGGAGTGGAAACAAGGTTGACGCGAAGGTCTTGTTCCGGTTAGCCGAGCGGGAAACCGTGTTCGGCAGGTTTCATGTTGCACTCGCCGACAAACATGTGTATAAAATTTTCCATACATCTTACAGTCTTATTTCCAGATATCAGATGTTTCGAAAGCATACCGTTTATGCTGAGCCAGATATGCATTGTCTGGGGCCGCCCTTATCATCTCAGAATCCGTATGTGCAAAACCAATATGATGGAGCTTTACCGGAGGTGGGCGGTACTAGGGCAGATAACGACGGTGCTCTTCCTGATATGGCTGGCAGTGTACTACCGTCAGCGGAAGCTGGAAGGGAGAATCTCAACGCCACACCAGCGTCGTCACAACCGCCCAGCGAGCCTCCAGCACCAGTAGCTGCAGCCGGCGAGACTGAAGGAGAACAGAAAGCCGAGCGTGGTGATATCTGGTGGAATGATGACGTGCCTGTGGCGCAAGTATGATTATTGATCTGCTGCATATGATTGTTGTTAACTATTGAGTTTCCTTGTATATGTTTCAATTCCACATAATTTTGATATAAGTTTACTCGTACTACCATCCATTTTGGAACCCGCAAGTCTGTCACACATGCGATTTTGATCTTTGTTGATCTGAATTTGAATCGTTGAAATGCTGTATAATGTTTTGCATCCTGGTGATTATTTCACTAACAACGAATGAAGATGAAAAAGATTCCAATGATAGCCGCGCAGTGTTTCAAGTTTCATCAGGTGACGGCGATGCAAGAGCTTAGACATTCGTTGATGGTCGCTTGAAATTTCCTAGGGAGCGGAAGGGTTGATGAAAGTTGGGTCCTCAATTTAATACCATATCCTGCTTCTGCTTCGAACAAGTCCACCAAAGAGGTGCATGACAAGGAAATGCGAGGCAGAAGAAAACGGAGGGAGGAGTGGACTAATATCTTCATCAGCGAAAAATCTTTGATTGCTAGGTAACACATGCTCATTGTGATACCAAGAATCATATTTTTATCCGTTAAGTGATCGTAGATTCAGTTGAGGACTAATAGATGGTAGCAACGATCGGTTGATAGACCCACGATATAGCAATATTCGAGGGGTAATCCAAGTATGCTTCAGTTTTGTAATATCAGTTGTGGTATGCTGTTGTTTCGCAGTCTCTTCATTTTATCATCGTTTCTGGTTAGTTACAGCTAGGTGTATTCTGGAAGAAGCAAGGGTCATGCGTGATAGCAACGTAGCACAATCGACAGAAGGCACACTTCCGTTCACTAGGCGTGGACATGCCGTAAGATGATGGTGGCATGGGAAAGGAGAAGTCCTGAATGCGCATCAAATGAAATTGATGGCATTCGGGAACAACGATTCAGGCATAATCGGTAAAAGCTGAAATCGAGTTTGATTTACCCCTGGGAAAGAAGGCTTACATTTAGACACGCGCATCAGTCATTAAGTATTTTGTGTCTACTGACGTCCTTTTCCTCTTGTCAGGAGGAGGGAATTTTTATTCTTAATTTTCTAGTGGTTCAAAAAGCTCAGCACTCAGGATCAGGTGGGATGTATTTCGAGTCCTTGACATGGTAAGGCAAGATTAGTATCAGCTGCGTATAAGGGTAGATTCCAGCTTTGAATATTTTGTTGAATATGCCTTTGTGCCTTCACAAGCCTACGAGTATTATAAAGCAGTCCCACTTCTCTTTCTGATAACGCACCCCAAACCACAATGGAACCTCCACCTTTCTCCACGAAAAGTTGTGTTGATACCTTACGAAAGAAAACTCCCCATAAAGATGGCACATACGGCTATTGTCGTCGTGCTAAAGTTTGTAAACTCACCCTCGTCATTGACTTTTAACTATAGCGGAAAACCAACTTTGGTTCCAGAGGTGTATAAATCCATTCTACGATTTTCCATTCGATTTAGAAATGTATAATACATATACATCGAGGTATCTTTTCTTGCAGTTAAAGGCACAGTTTTCGAAGGTTCTATGGTTCCTTTTTTAGTCGAAATGCGGCAAGTATTGGCTGGGAGTAGTGATTGGTGGTGAAGGAGGCGAGAGAATTCGTCGATTCCGTAAAAAATAAGGCTCCTCAGAAGTAGTGAAAGTAGTGGTTGTACGTGGCATGGAAGGTGTATTCGGACGAATTTTCAGTTGTTGCAACCGCGTAAAGAGCTGACTACATCAAGCCCAAAATTGCCTTTCGCTGTCACTATGGGTCACGAAAATTTTTCGATTTTCCTTAATGGCTTCTTCTAAATGGTACAGTAAGCGAGCGCGCCCAGTGGAGCGGCTGATACGCGAGACGTCCGATTAATAGAGTTCATCTTTAAAGCATCAATACAGAGTAAAGAGGTAAGATGACCGATTGTTATCTCGAAGCTACATCATGACACAATCCTTACTTTATATAAAGCGCTCGCGTCTGTCTGTCC